TTTAAAATTGAGATAGTTATAGTGTGAACTATCTTGAGACGAATAAATTTCTCAACTGTGTCAACTGAAAATAATGACTCTACCACGAGCAAAATATTGAATATTCTCTCACATAATGACCGTTTCTTTTAAACAAAATTTTTAAAAAAAGTCTTTTAAAAATTGTTTTTGAAGTGTAAATAATGTTTTATAATAAAATATTTAAGGATATTTATAAAATTATGCTAATTATTATATTTTTAGCCTAAAAACCCTTTATAAAGAATTTACAAAAAAAAAAAAAATCATAAATTAGCTAAGCATCTTCAAAATACTTTGATGAAATATAATTGCAAAACGGTCACTCACTACCAGAAAATGGGGCTACTGCAGCACTATTTTGGACCTTAATATAAACTAAGCAATACTTAAAAGGTGCGTTACAGAAATTAAGTACTTTGCAAAGTATATTCGTAATTGAACAAACTAAGCTATAAATATTTTGCATAAAATGATATTTATATTATTTCGTGCTAACAGACTCGTCGCCAAAGCTATATTACTAGTTCGTACATTCGAACACATACCTTTTATGTATTGCTATCAATTTTTCATGCAAAGTACTTAATCTGTAATAGAGGTATGTATTGTTTACACCAAACTAACACAAGATTTAGCTTAGAAGGCAAATGAATATATTTATAGTAATAGTCATACTAATGGAAGTCATCTTCAAGACTAAAAACACGCAAATATTTTTTATTTAGAACACATGTGATTAGACTTATCGAAATACAAACGACATTTTTGGAAACTACTCAATACAAAATTAAACAATATCAAATAAAAATAAGGTTTCATGAGATGGTGTAAGGAGTTAATAATATTTTGGTGGATTTACAAACATACTACTTAATTTCATACTATTTACATATATAATACCTAAAACTTTAATATTGCATTTCCACTATCAAAATCAAAGAAAATAAAATTTCTTGTCCAGTCTACTACATTTATATCATTAGTTAAAGCTTTCAAACTAACTTGGTCAGCATGAATCATCATTCAAAGTATAGATGAGAAACCATAAACAATTCCAAATGTATCTTGGGAGAAACAAGAGCCAGTTAACATTTCTGAGAAACATGAACCGGTTAACATTTCTATTGAATGAAATGATAGGGGAAGCAAGAGCAAAAAGCCCTCTGGCTTTAGAAAAAATGATTTTCAGCAAAATGATTTCAGAAAAATGAGAAGAAGAGGGAGAATGAGAAGAAGATCAAAGAAGAATGAGAAGAAGAAGAAGAAGGGGAAGACACTCACAGTGAGAAAAGGCTGGTCGGCCGAGATGGGTCCTGTGCGTAGAGTTGCGACGATTCGCTCCACAAGAACAGACACGGGAGGGCGGCGAAATTAGGGCTCGAAAGAATAGAGTAAGTAGCGATTGGGAATTAGGGATTTAATCACTGAGCGGGGCTTTAGCTTCGGTTTAAACCGAGGTAAACTGCACCTGTTAAAACCGGTGCAAATAGATGTTATTTGTACCGATTAAAACCGGAGCAAAATAAACGTTTTAGAAGCGGTTTTCAAACCGCTCCTAGTGACCGATGCAATAGAACCTATCTTTTGGTAGTGTAGGCTTTGCCGGCGGTTTTAACCGGTGCAATTGGATTCAAATTTTTGATGCAAAACGGGCTTTTCGCAGCGGTTATGAAAACCGGTGCAAAAAACCGCTGCGAAAGGGCTTATTTTTTGGTAGTGACTTAACCGTCCCAAAATTCCACTTTATACAAATTGATGTTAATTTCTTAATGAATTTTAGCAATGAAAAAAAATTATAAAAATTAAAATACAATGTTATCTATATGTTATGACAAAGAAGATTTGCTATTTGAATTTATAATGACTCATGAACTAATTTTTTAATGTTATAAGTCAAAACATTTTTTTTTAAAAATTTAAAAGGCTACTATATGGTGAACTAAGGATTTGTTTAAGATAATTTTATTATCGGTTTACTTTTTATATCGCAATCACAATTTTGTCTTGATTACTATTTTCTCATTGCTTTCAAGAAATCATCATACTAAGAAGTTGCTATTTACAACAACTTCTAAAAAGTTACTTTCCTTGTAGTAGTTTTGTAAGCATATTTACAAAAAAAGTATTGCAATCCAAAATAGATCATCAAAAGGGAGAAATTATTATGTGCAGAGTTTAAACAAAAACATTCATTCGGACATGTGAGAGTGAACACAGTATGTACACAAATATGACACACATTGTCGCTGCGGGCTAGAATATACGTGACGATAGAGTTATAATTATACGTCTTAGCGTTGTAATGATATACAACTAACACACATATAACACAATATTTATTATGCGGAAAACCCATAAAATGAAAAAATCACAGGGTCCAGCTTAGTTGAAAATGATTCCACTAGAATTTGAGCAAAGTACAATGGTTTGACTCGTCCTTGAAGACGACCATATTACAAATGCCAACTGGAACTTTCGCAAAAGTCCAGTGTTACTCCAACGTCAGGTGGTGGTCCGGTAGTACTCCAGTGTCAGGCGGTGGCCCGGCAATGACACTTCAGCGTCAGGGGACACTTCGATTTCAAGTGGCACATCAACTTCTTTTGATGGTCTGGTGGTGATTTGACAAAACTCAAGCATCCCTTGGTGGTCCGTCGGTGGTGCGGCAGAACTCTGGCGTCCCTTGGTGGTCTGGCGTGGTGCGACAAAACTCCACTGTGGTCGAAGAGGAGCTAGGTGGCTGAAGCTTTCTTCCTTCTCTTCCTTATTCTCTCTTGGCTTGTTAGATTCGTCTCGTCTCGTCTAGCTGCTTGATTCGACTATAAGCATGTCACGATTGGAGTCGTTTGATAACCCAAATTATAGTTTGATCATTCCAAAAGTGCTTAAAGTCTTTGATTTGGACTCATTTGGGCTCGGATTGGGCCGATTTTGGTGTAGTTGGGTTCGTGTTTCTAAGACGCTCTGTTTGATTGTAAGTTTGCAGAAATCAGAGTTCGGATGGTCTCAATTTTAAATTTGTAAAGCTTCCAACTTGATTTTGCCTCAAGATTCCTATCTAATTATGATAATGTTTTGATGATGTATCAACTGTGTATATATTGTTTATAATATATATGCCCGAACAATTAGTTCGTACGAACTCAGCATGGAATAATTTCTTCTTAGAAGAAGAGACGACGACTCAGTTGTGAATACGTAGCTATGAGTGGAGTAGAAGAAAGTAAAGATGAGGTACAGCGTATGAGAAGGGACAAGGGTATGTGATTCTCTAACTATCATACTTCCTTTCTTTTTTAGAGTATATTCTAAATTTATCCCTTTTTTTTTATTCATTGTAAGTCTCAACGTTCCAAGCTAAAAAAATTTATAATGGTTGCGGGCTAGAATATACGCGGCGGTAGAATTTGCAAATTTATGTCTGAGCGTTATACGAATATTCAACACACAAACAGAAAAGGAAGTGAACACCAGGATTTTTACGTGGAAAACCCTGAAAAGGGGAAAAACCACGGGGCCATGCCCAGTTGAAAGTCCCACTAGTGTTGCGTAAATTACAAGAAGCTGCTTCGTCCCACAAGTTAGGACAATCAGATTACATTAAATTTCTCCTGAATTAAAACAAAGTTGTGTAAAATCCCGGCGTTTCCCGAATATCCGGTAGAATTCCGGCGTATTCAGGCGGCAGGAAGAACTCCGACAGTGGTTGAGGAGGAGCTGATTATCCTCTTCTTTTCTTCTTCTGGCTTCTCTCTCTTCTCACTTGAGTCATCTTGTGAAGAATGATGGCTATATTTATAGTTTTTCTGGAATGACATTGCATGTAAATAGGTGTGAGATCAGGGGTGAATAGGGAGTGATCGAATGGACGGTTGATGTTGAATCCTTCGATCGTGCACTGTTAGTTGGACATTTGAAGGCCTTATTGATGTCAAAATTCGGCGATCTTGGGCTCGTTGGATTCTTCTCGTCGAGTCGCTCGATTCGAGTATAAGCTCATTAAAATCGGAGACCGTTTGGTAACTCAATTTGTGGTACGAGCTTTCCAACAGCACTTCGAGAGCTTGATTTGGGCTCATTTGGACTCTAATTGAGTTGAATTTGGTGTTGTTGGGTTCGTATTTCTGAGACGCTCAGCTTGAATGTAAGCTTGCTGAAATCGGATTTCAGGTGCTCCCGGATTTTATTTTTGAAGTTTCTTGGGTTTTGCCTCGAGATTCGTGCCCGATCAAGATAATTTCATGATAACGTATCAATGATATACAAATACACGAGGCTGCCAATAAATGTCAAAGGAATAATATAAGTTGTTTTAAAGTGAAAAAGCAATGAATTAAATAAGAAATTGTAGAATCACAATATTATTTGAATATTTAATAGATAATTTAATAATTTATTTATTATATATATTTTTATTTATATATTATTCATTTATTTTTATCTGCATGCGTATAATATTATTTTAAACATTTAAAGTTATGTTAAAAAATTCTAATAGTAGAAATATGATGTATCAAATAATTCAATATCATCTAAAGCAAGCACTTTTAATGACCTAAAAATATTTTACATATTTATAAATAAAGAATATAAATATTATATTTAATTGGGTAAAAAAGGTTAATAATTTGATAATATAATTTAATTTTTTATAATAATAAATTAAATTTAAAAATAAATGGTCAACTATCTTTAAAAAAGTATTTTGATAACATAAATTATAAAATTGGAAGATGAATAAAAATTTATTATTTTTGGATTAAAAAAATTATAATATCAATTTTCAATTTCCCTCCACCACTTCTCCTTAATCACCGCATTCCACAGTTGTAGTCGCGGGCAGCTGCCCACTACCCGGAATCCCCTAGAAAGCGTAAGCACGAGAAGTCATACAATCCGACGGCTGTCATTCGGCCATGATACACACCAACTCAGATCACTGGCCGTCCATTATCATTTTCCTCTTTTTTTCCTCCTCGGAAAAAAAAATCTCGCGATAAGTGAGTGTTCTTAGTTATTCTGCCCACAGATCCCTCGAGGGAATCGATCGATATTTACTGGGATTCGACCTTATCCTGATCGATTCTTGTTGAGAACCCATCGCATCGATCAATTCCGCTATGATCGGTTTCTCCATCCTTTCCGTGGATTGCGATCGATTAGGGTTGGATTCCGAGGAGTGATTCATCCGGAGTCGGAAATGGAGCAGGAGAGCAAGAAGAGAGAGGGGAAGGAGGTAGAGTTACCCTCTTCGAACCCCCCTATCCTCTGCGCCAACAACTGTGGCTTCTTCGGAAGCTCAGCCACCAGTAACCTCTGCTCCAAGTGCTACCGCGACGCGTTTCTGAGTGAGTCAAAGGCCTCCGTTGAAACTATCACTGAGCCGGCGACGGCGGAGGCGGAGGCTGATGATGGGGTGGAGACTCTTGAGATGCTGGGAAAGAAGCCGGCCAATCGTTGCGGTTCGTGCAACAAAAGGGTGGGGCTGATGGGGTTTAAGTGCCGCTGCGGGAATGTATTTTGCTCTCTCCATCTATACTCTGAGAAGCACAATTGCGTCTTTGATTACAAGGGAGCTGGGCAGGACGCGATTGCCAAGGCGAATCCTGTGGTGAAGCCGGATAAAGTTGATAAGATTTGAGCGCATGGTATGTTGTTCTTAATTGAATTTTTCATCAAAAAAGATGAAAAAAAAAACAAGAAAACAGAGAAGAAATGCGCTTTAGTGTTATGATTTGATTGTATTGGTTTATGGGTTTGTTCGGTGTGTTTATGTTCAAGGAGATGTGTTGGGATCTTTTGATTGAATATCTGAAGGTAGCTTTTAGTTCTGAATCTTAGTAAAACCCTATATAGGGCAAAATTATCAAATGATTATCCTGCTTTTGAGTAGATTATGTTTTCTCCCTACCTTCTTCCTTCTTTTATTATAAATTTAGCGCGTCTGTGTACTGTACTTGTATGTTTAGCTGGATTGTGTATTGTTATAATTATTGCAGTATGGATAATGGATAATCTTCATTAGTATTCGAAACTGTTCATATATAGATTGATTGCCTGAAGGGGTCTAATTTCGTTGGTTGGAAATAGAGAAAATTGTCTTAAAATGGTGCAATTTCTAATCATTCTTCCCTAAATCCAAAATCAAAGTAGAAAAAATGGCGCAATGTGTAGAGAGACCCACACATTAAAAGATTAAAATAGAAGAACATAGAAAACGCCTCCAAAACCGTCTCCATAGAATTTGAGTACAAAAAAAAGTCATAAACAAAATTGATAAAAGCCACAATAATACTCAGATTCTTCCTGCAAACAATGACCGCTTTCCAGCACAGATAATAGAAGAAAACAAAATATTATTAGTGTGTTTATGTAAGGTGTTTTAAGATTTATGAATTCTTATTGACTGTAAATAAATCCAACCAAAATTATTGAATCTAGTGATGTTTTAAGATTTATGATGGTTTTTTTCCCTCTTTAGTCACTTCTACCCTGTTGTAGAGTTGAAGCTTGCCTATGATGGTGCTGTAAACCAAAGGCATCCTTATGGAAGACTAAAGTTTCGTTTGAGATGACTTTTTTTACTAGTTCTTAAAGAAGTTTTTTAGTACAAATATTAAAAAGTTGCTTTAAAATTCAGTAAAATAGTCGTTCCAAACGAAGCCACGGTTTTTTATTTCTTCTTAAAACAGCTTTCTAGTTAAAAAATTAATTTTTTTTTTCTAAAAAGCTGTTTTAAGAAGCATTAAGAAAGATGTCCCAAATGAAGCCTAACTTTTGCGTATATTCTAACTGTTTTGCCTATACTTATAATTTAATTGACTGTATTTATTTCAGAGTATTAGTATGATAT